CTCTCTCTCTCTCTCTCTCTCTCTCTCTCTCTCTCTCTCTCTCTCTCTCTCTCTCTCTCTCTGAAACTGAAACTTGCTATTGCCCAGTTTCCCAATTTGGAGGTCCTCTCTCTCTCTAAGATGGAGATTACTTGACCATCATGTAGCCCCCCCTCTCTAGGGCTCTTTTGGTCATTAAACGTGCATTTTGGAGAGCAATCAATGTCTTGTCTCTAAATTATCAAAAAGTAGTTTCACAGTTTACATGCTATTTGTGAGCATCAAGAGCTTTTCCATGTAGTGTCTTTCTTATTTTCCTGCTGCAACTTTGTGTATGTTTGATTCTTGCCTTGCGAAGTTTCCCCCTTTCTCTCTACCCACAATATAATGCCAGATGCCTTTCTTTTTGTCTGCCACAACTGTAGCTAATCTTAGCACAAAAATGCTCAGTCATAATCAAAGTTTGAAAAATTATTCTGCTCAGTCATAATCAAAGTTAGAAAAATTATTCTCTTTACATTCAAATACAAGTAGACTGTATTTTCACTTTGTTGTTTTTGTTAGAACCATTGATTCAAAGTACCCACTAGGTGAAAAAATGAGGTGGGATATTTTTGGTGTTTTTTTATTTGAATAATAAAAGATGCATAAATATGCATGTCTTATACAAGGATTACTGGACATCATTTGCCTCCTTTTGAACCTAGGCCACCCAGATTCAGGAGGACTGCCTAGGCACCTAGACCACCTGCCACCGCCCGGCATTATATGGGACACCGGATTGAATGTTGTTGGCTATGGCTTCTTGCAAAATACATGAATTTTGCACAATCTTACGTAGACAGCTGTTTAAGCTTTGAACTCCTCTCTTTCTCTCTACTTGCATCCGTGTAATGAGGGAAATTATGTTCAAGAATATCGTGGTTGTTCTTGTCATGTCTCTATAATTTTGAAATTCGTTTGTTTCAGGACCTGTGAGATATGTGGCTCAACTGCTCGGAACGTTGTTGGTGTAGAGGATGCAGAGTTCATGGAGCAATGGAACGAATCGAACGCCGTAACGACCCCCACTCAAGAGCCAAGAAGCTTTTGGCGTGGCCATCGCTTCCTCAATTTCCTTCTCGCTTGCATGGTTTTCGCCTTTGTTATTTCATGGCTCTTCCACTTCAATGTTCCCTCCTAGACAGGGTAGAGAGAGAAAGAAATTTGGGGGGGTTTAGAGAGAGAAAAGGTTGAAGATTCGGGATACTGAGAATTGGGTTTTTGCACAGATTGAAGAAAAGGAGCAAGGAAGAAGACCCATTAGAATTTCTATTGCTGTATTTCAAATCAAGTATATGTCACTGTATCAGTATTTTGGGTGCCCTTTTGGCTCTCATTTTACTCTGTTTTATTCTCTTTCATAGCTTATAGTTTATTTGAAAGGAAAGAAGCATTTTCTTGTACAAACTCAGAGGGAGAGAGGAGCTGGCTCCCATCTTGAGGTTCAGTGGGCTGTTAGAGTTCTTGGTATTAATAGCATTTGATTGCTTGGTTTCTTTTCTCTCTGTAACATTTGATTGCTTGGGTTCACTTTCTCTCTCTGTGTAACATTTGATTTCCTTTGCTCTCTCTTATTAGCATCTGGTAGTGTTTATAAATCTCTCTCCCTACTCTATAGTCCGGATGCTTGATACCAGTTGCATTTGATTATTTATTGGATGAAGTTTCTACAAAGCTTAGGTTTTGTGAAAACAAAGCAAAGCCTCACCTCAAATCCTTGTCCAGAGAGCACTTTTAGCAACAGAAATCTCCATATTTGCTCTAAAACCAATTTCCAAACAATAAGGAACTCATAAGATGCATATCTTAGGGATATGTGAGCACTAATTATTAAGGCGAAATGGACGGTCTCCGTAATTTATTACAATATATACCATTTTTAGAGTTTGAAATCTTAGCTTTTTTTTTTTTTTGACAATCATAATATTCAAGTCGAAATGATGGATGTAAAAGTTTTTCAAATACTTAGAATTGCAAATTTTGATGAGTTATGAGGTAAGGCTTCACTTATTTTGATAGGGCTGCAGCCCTATCAAGCCATTTTCCTTATTTATATTCATTATTTGTGTTTCTCTCGTTGCGGGGCCATCTTCATTTGAAATTCCTGTAAAATTTTTGGTTTGGAGGCTCTTTTGTCAATGTGTATTATTTGTCTTGTTATTCCTTTTTGGTGTCCCGACTGTGGATGAGATGACATTTTTGTTTTCTCTCTCTCTCTCTCTGTGGGCATGTGCTCTATGATGGCCTGCACCACCCATGAGGCATGACACAGCACTTCCCCTTTTACCAGTTCCAAATTATGGGGGTACTTTTCAATGTCACGCGCACTTGTGAGATCAAAATTGCGAAGAGAACATGAGGCAGGGATCAATGGATACAAGCTGTAGAGGTAAAATAGTTGAGTCTTCTTTTGGGAAAATTTCTCATATTTGAAACATTTTTAATACCATTAATTTTGTCACTTTTCTATCCTCTAATCACGTAAACGGTTATTACCCATATCAAAGTCATTTTTAGTAATTTTTTTTGTCCTGAACAAATAATGTGAGGATATCTACGTCCATCTCCCTACCCCAAACCAGCCTCAGCCTCACGCACTCACCCTCTCTCTCTCTTCCCCAATCTGAGGTCTACCCCATCTCTCTCAATCTGAGCTCTGCCTCATACCCCTTTCTCTCCCTCTCCATCCCCATCTGAACTTTGTGCCATACCCAATTTGAGATCTGCCCTAAATAAATCCTGCTTTGTTCAGCAACATGGTTTTGAGCCCCAAAATTCTAGAAAGAGAATGATCCAAGCTCATTGGTTTTAGGTACCCAGGCTCGAGCTCCTCAGCCATTATTTCAGGGTCTCAACCAGTCAATTCTGGAGAGAGAAAGTTTTGGGATTCATAATGTTGGGGTCTGGGATTTTTATGCTGAGTAGTGAATCTAGAGAGAGAAAGTGACGCTCTATCTTAGTAAAATATGTTGTGACCAGCTCATCACTTTTAATGAATCAACTGAGTTCATATCAAAGTTTGAAAGACGTAATATTGCACAACACCTGTGTCCATGCACGTCTTTCACATTGCAATCAGAGAGTTAACTTACTTTTAGAGAGAGAGATTCTCATCATCCTTGAATAATGAATACATTGATAAAACATGGCCCAAATTGTTGAATTTGATACCAAAAATCTGTATCAGAAGGCTTGAATGTGATTTTGTGCAAAATACTAAACAATGGTAGTTATCTCCATGAACGCAGTGTGAGAAAGGAGCATGGACACAGCTGAGAGGCTTGAATGGGAAAGCCCTGATGTTGTCACTGTTCAAAGGCACTACATTTGTGCATCTAGAGTGAGAGAGTTCAAAAGAGCCATGTCCATCCATTGAATAAACTCAAATGAGAGATACCGAGAGGAAGAGATAATGGGTAGAGAGAGAGAGAGAGGGTTTGGGTGTGGTGCAAAACTCAAATTGGGGGAGAGAGAGAGAGGAGGGGGTATGGTGCAAAGCTACAAAGTTGGGGAGAGAGAGAGAGAGAGGGCGGTATGGCGTAGAGTTTTAAGGGCGACAAAGAGAGTCTTGGGCATGACAGAGAGATGGACGTGGGTGTCCTTATCAGATATGTTTGGAGCACTTAAGTTGCTCAAAATACCTGTTATGTTATGCAGGTAAAAACGGTTCAGGGGTTAGAAGACTAACAAAGTTAATGTTGCTTAAAATGCTATCAAATTTTAAGATCCATGGAGAAATCAAATACAAAATTTGAGTGTAGGGGGAAATTTTCCCTCTTTTTTTTATTCTTCTACATATGAGAGACAGGCCCAGCCCTAGATCGGGCCAAGGTGGCCTGCATAAGCCTGGGCCTACCTATGCCAGGATCGAGTAGGACCGGGCCAAATAGAGTTAGCGAAAAGTAAAGGAAAAAACTAACGTAAAAAGGGGGCCGGGGCAAATTGGGCTGGCACTATCATGGCCTTGACACATGCCCGCCGCTCCCCTATGGGCTGTGACAGCCTGATCCTAGCCCAGCCCTTAGGCCACTTTTAGAACCCAGCCCTAGTTTTTTAAGAGCTGGGCTGACCGGAACAGGCCCATTGCCACCCCTAGTTTAGGTAGGTCACTAAGCGTTATAGTGAGCCGACGCTCCCAAAATCTATCTTGAAATGGATTTGTGGATAAAACTTTGACTAAGTTTATCGTCTAAACCGCCCCATTCATGAATCTAGGGAAAAAATTTTGAGGCTTAAAAGTATTATATTTTGTACTTTTTTGGAACCACTCTTTTTTATTCTTCAAATTATGTTAGATCTAACCTTTTTAGCCCCAAATTCAAGGATTTAGATGGAATTGGATTCAACGTGATCCAAAATGATTTGATAAGAGATTGAAAAACCTGTAGTCGAGGCTTGAAGGTTCTGTTTGTGAAAAAAAGAAAAGATTTAAAGCTTTAAAAATAATGTATATTTTAATAAATTATTTAAATCATTTATATCGCCTTAAAAATAAATGTTCATAAATTCGCAAGATTTACGCCATTTTTTTAGTTTTAAATTTTATTTCCGGTGTACCATTGAGATTTCCTTTTTGCCAAAAAGTGTTTTCCACCGGGATTTGATGTGGAGCTTCGTAAAGTCTGCGACTTATAAAAACTTCATCCGTTATTTTAAGGGTGCGGTTTGTATAGAGCCGAGACTCTAAACAATCGAAGTGAGGCCTACCTTTAAATAGTGCTTAGAAATATAGTTTCCTGGAAATCTTTATGATCGTCTTAAAATATATTTTCATCTTTAATTACAAAATTTAAAGCTTAAAAAATAATGTAGATTAAGCAGATCAATGAAAACTTGAAAATCTTGAAAATTGACAGTCCAAAAAAAAACGTTACAAGATGCACTATATTCAAAAGTTCAAATCCATTTTTTTTGCATCTCCATACATCTTGATGTTGAGATGATCAATTTAAGGATATTTGGGCATCAAAACGACATCTTCTAGTAAAATTCTTTAGGTAGGCTCTAATTTGATTGTTTAGATCCTCGGCTCTCTATAAACTTTTTCCATTTTTTTAATTCTCAAGAATAATAAATCTGGATAGAGTAGAATATGGCGTTGGGCCAATGGAATCCAGAGTAGGTGAATAATCTCAGCAGCTGCTTACAACGTGGCTGCAATAGGGACCCCACGTGCCTGGACGATCAGGATGTCCTGTGAAACCTTGCCAAACCAAATCATAGCCGTCCACTTGGACTCCTATATACCCCTTATAACTGTGACAAATACAACATGTTGAAACGTCATGTCAACGTTCCAATAGGGAGAGTAGGTGATGAATTGTTATTAACATTTGACATCCATTTAAAAAGCTTTCGGTACCTTAGAGCTAGCAATGAGATTAATAAATCCAAATATTGTCAAATTTAATTCTTTGTGATTCTTATATTTTAAATTTGTCTTATTTTAATCCTTTTCACCTGAAGAAATGATAAAATAGCGAAGTCCGTTGGGGTTCAGTGGGTCTGAACCTAGTTCATTTCGACCATGATCTGGACAGTTCAATGAAGCATAGGCCTGGCAATGAGCAACACGGCCTAAAAACAACTAAGGCATGGGCCACAAAATGCAGCTCGAGGGATGGCCACTAGAGCCAGATGATAGGATTCAATCCAGATATAGGCCAAGTTTGCAAAGGCCAGGCAAAGCCAAGGCTAGGTTTGAGATGAGGGCAGCCCGCATTGGCGCAGCCGAGCCCTTTTTCTTCTTATTGTTTTTATTTTGGTTACTTGTATTATATTTGGCCTGACCCAGCCCGAATAGGGCCAAGTTGGCCTTGTAGGGACTAGGGCCAAGCCCGTTGCCACCCCTAAAACACCCCATGGAGAAATTTCATCTCTAACTCTCCATATGGTCCAGATCTTGCCCCACTCACCAATGCCCCCCACAAAACAGCACCCATATGAATTGGGTTTATCTAAGCCTTATAGAAACATGGCATCAGGTATTTTTTTTTTTTTTTTGTTTTGTTTCAAATCACTTGTTTTTATATGTTTTTTGTTTTTTTCAAGGACTGCATAGAGTGAAACTGTTTATCTTTGATGCAAGGAGGTCACAATTACTTATAGTTATTCAATGTAAAATCAGATAGCTTTGGTGTGTCATAAAGTTCAATAAAATTTTTTTTAAAGTTTGAACTTGGTCAATGGAATAAATGCAGCCATTCAATTTCACATTCAATGATCAAGATTAATTGTGATCACTTTATACCAAAGGTAACTAGTCTTATTGTATATATTTTTTTTTTTCCATGAAAAATATCTGTCTTTATATACATATATTAATTTGTGTTTAGAGATCCAACGCCACATGATCTGATCTTAATTAGATAGTTGGGAGTGAGCCAAAAATAATAGCATACATGTTGTATTTGTCAAGTCATATATTGTATAATACCATTATTGTCTTACACTCATCCATTCAATCGAGGCAAGAAGGCTCCATATCTCAAGACAACTA